TCCTCCACGCCCTGGTGAGCAGGCCCCTCCCCAGGGCCCGGGCTGGCAGCCGGACACGCCTGCCTCTCTCTGCAGCTTCCCCTTCACGTTTCGGCTTGTTGCCCGGAAATGCGTTGAAAGCTGGTCCTGTGTCCATGTCCGCGCTTCGGGGCAGCTGCCTGGTGATGGCTGCTCCTCCGACTCCCCTTCTGGAGTTTGTCTCCGTCCCTCCACAAGGACGCGAGGTCTCACTGTGGACCACACCCCTGACTCCCAGGGGCTCTGCTTCCCGGACTGGATTGTGCCTGGACGCCCAGGGGGGATGTGACCTCCACCCGCACATCTAAGGGCGGCCGGAACGAGGCACCCTCCAGGCCTGTTGAGCTGTGAGCCCCGGGGGTAGGGGTGGGGTTGGGGGGTCAGGGGGAAGTCCCCTCCGTCCTCCCTCCAGCCTCATTCCTATTCCTGCTGGTCCGGGCCTTCATCTTCGAACTCTCCGAAAACATCAAGCACCGGCCCCAGAGCTCCATGAAGGGGAGTCAGTCGGAAACACGGGCCATTGGAATCCTCTCCAAGGTGGACCCCCGGGGGGTGTGGGGACTTTTGCTCGGGGCCAGCAGTGGCCCTTCCACCTCCTGAGGAAAGTTACTGACCCTCCCAAGGTGCCTGGGCCACTGTTGCTCAAACCCAGAAACCTGAGCTTCTCCCACCTCCACAGCCCCCCCTGCCCCCCTCTGCCAGCAGGAAATGCCAGTCGCCGCCACCAGGGGGCGCTGTTCACTCTGGAACCATTTGCAGGCTGGGAGCCCAGGACGCTCACCTAAATGAATGGAATTGGCAGCGCGTTGCTCCAAGTGGCAACACAACACGATTTGGGCAGTTTCCCACGGAAGGTCGATCTTTTCATTTCTTATTTTTTATTTTTGCACAGGCCACCAGAGTGTCGGGGGGAGGCAGGGACCGTGGAGAGAGTCTGGCTCCAAAGCTCCCTCAAGTCACCCGGATGGCGTGAACCTGAGACAGGTGACGGGAAACAACGTGGGAAAGTTGTGTGTCCGTCCCTCCCAGAAACCGGCTCATCTGTAAGGGGTCAGAGGTCGGCCAGGAGGGGCTGGAAAAGGCCAGAGGAGCCCTGGCCTGTGCGCTCAGTGGTTAGGGCCTCGGCCTGCAGGCTGGAGGGTGGCGGGTCCAATTTCCGGTCAAGGGCAGGTCCCTGGGTTGCAGGTTTGATCCCTGCCCCCTGTTGGGGCTCATGCGGGAGACAACCAATCAATGTGTCTCTAACATCGACGTTTCTCTCTCTTTTCCCTCTCGCTCTCTCCCTCTCCCTGGAAATCCGACAGCTTACCCACTCCCTTCTTCACCCACCCTCCCAAAGCCGGTCCCCTTACCCAGACTCTCCCATCTTCCGGCTTCTTGTGTATGCGTATAGGGTGCTTTTGGCTGCCTATTTCTTTCGTCCGTCTCCTAGGACGTAAGACCCGCCAGTTAAGGAACATCATCCGTTTTGTTCGCCGCTGGAACCCACATCCGGGCCGGCTCCATGGTAAGCGATGGACAGATGTCTGCGGGGTGACTAAATAAAATGTCTTGTGAGGGTCAAACGAGATGACGTCTGTCTGTATTAAGAAAAGCGCTGGCAAAGAGTGTTAAAACATGGTATCTTCCTTCTTTCCCTCTCTCCCTCCTTCCCTCCTCCCCGCCCTCCATCCTCTCTCTCCCTTTCTTCTTATTTCTCATAGAAGCTTGGCATGAGGGCTGCACCGTGACCATGGCTGCCTCATGAGGCCAACACATAGCCCGGGCGTCCCGCGTTCTTAGCAATCATCACCCAGACCTTCCTGAGCGACAGTTCACACGCCGCCTCCCGGGCCCGGCCGCACTGAGTTAGGAATCAGAGCGCGGACGCCGGGAACCCTGAGGTTGCCTCTCTGACGTGGGAGCCCCGGGCACCTGGGGAGCAGATGGTCTCCTCTTCCCCATAACCCTTCCCTCCTGTCCATCACGCTAATGGCCTCCATGTGCCCGGAGCCCGTGGGGAGTCTCGCCCGCGCGTTTGAGGAGATTAGCGGCCTCTGATGTTCGCGATGAAGTTCGGAGAGGCATCTGGAAGCAATTTTAGTGAAGGAATGAGCGATTTCGGGCTTAAACAACACCCGCCTTTCAAAAAAGAAATACGGGGAGCGGGCAGCCCGGGAACCGCCAACTTCACGCCTCTCTCTCTTTTTGTGGGTTTTCCTTAAAAGAGAAAAAAAAGCTCCCTTGACCACATCCTCTCTCTTCCTGGTTTGGTCTGGTGTGCGAATGCGTTTGATGTTGGGAGGGACCCGGGGGAGATGAAACGGGCCCCTGAGGTGAGGTTTGCAGAGCAGCAGCAGCGCCCGGCCCCTGGCGTCCGGCTGCCCAGCGAAGAGGGAGCAGGGAAGAGCCCCCTCCGGGCTGGGGCCCTCTGAGCCCCGGACCCCCGAGGGCAGCAGATGCCGCCAGAGACTGAGAAACGCATTTGCCTGATCGCAGCCTCCGTCCTGTTTTCCTTCTCATTTTCAATTGTTACATTTTCCCATGTGGTGCTTTTGGTTCCCCCTCTTTTTTTTTTTTTTTAAAAAAATATCTTTTTATTGATTTCAGAGAGGAAGGGAGAGGGAGAGAAACATCAATGATGCGAGAGCATCATGGGTCAGCCGCCTCCTACATGGCCTCCTGGCTCAGAGGTCGGCGCTCAACCACTGAGCCACGCCAGCCTCGCCGGACGCGCCTCTCAGCTCCCACCCTGGCCTGGCGGGTGTCCCCGGCGGCCTTGTCCCCACCTCGGGCACGAGGAGTCCCTGATGGTCCTGGGGAGGCCAGTGACACCGGCGAGTTACCCCCAGCTCTTAGCTCATTCGGGGGGCGGGGCAGCCGCGGCCACAGGAAGCAGCCCGGGGTCCTCGCGGGGCAGGCACAGCCCCTTCTCGCTGCTGTCAGCCTGGGAGTCATTGGAGAGTAAATATTTCTCATTTGAATATTTCCAGCCCCGGCGAGAAATACAACAGATCGATTATTTCCGCCTGAGAGGGTGGGAGCGGCCTCGTCCTCCCTCCCTCCTTCCTGTCGGCTCACAGGAGCAGCAAGGCCCACACCATGCCCCCCACTCCCTGCTCTGTGGGCCCATCACTGGCTCCCGCCCCCAAATGAAATAATGCCTTTCCCTTTGGCACCGGGTGGTGCCATCTCTGCTGAGAAGGCAGAAGCAGGACCTGGGCCAGGTCTCCACGGCTGAGGTGATAAAATAAAAAAATAAAATAAAAAGAGGGGGAACTTGGCCCGCCCGTGTGGCTCAGTGGTTGAGCTTCGACCTAGGAACCAGGAGGTCACGGTTGGATTCAGTCGGCACAGGCCAGGGCACAGGCCTGGGTTGTGGGCTCCATCCCCAGTGTGGGGCGTGCAGGAGGCAGCCGGTCCATGGTTCTCTCTCATCATGGATGTCTCTCTCCCTCTCCCTTGCTCTCTGAAACCAATAAACATATATTAAACACACACACACACACACACACGCGCGGAGCGGCATTCCAACAATAAGCAGGACAAATAGTGACAACGGGACCTTCCTTTCACCTCCGCGCCCCACGGGTTTCAGAGAGGCGCGCGCCCATCCGTGTGCATGTGCGCGCGCATGCGTGCGTATTGTGTGCATGCGTGCGCGCGCGTGTGTGTGCATGCGTGTGTGTGCGTGTGTATGTGTGTGCATGTGTGTATGTGTGTGTACATGTGTGTATTGTGTGTGTGTGTGTGGTCCCGCTTTGCATGGCTCAGTGTGTTGCGTTGACCCACCCAGGAGGTCTTTCCGCACCAGCTGCGAGGGACTTTGGAATTCCACGTGTCCCTGGCTCGCAGGCAAGAAAAAAAACAAACAAAACCCCCAAAACAAATAACCCCCCACAGGGGGCGACCTGAAGTTCAGGCCGCAGCGACCACCGGCGGGCGCGAGGGGAGGGTCCCGCTCCGTCCCGGGCACCTGCCCCCCAAAACAAATAACCCCCCACAGGGGGCGACCTGAAGTTCAGGCCGCAGCGACCACCGGCGGGCGCGAGGGGAGGGTCCCGCTCCGTCCCGGGCACCTGCGCAGAAGCCTCCGGGACGCGGAGACGAAGGCTGCAAA